CCTAAACTAAACTAACTTTATTTATACTGGATAACTCTATCAGTTCTAAACTGTTCTTCCTAGAGGTCCAGTAAGGATCATCTCTTATTGATCCAGTGTTACTACAGGAGGAAACCTAAACTAACTTTATTTATACTGGATAGATCTATCAGTTCTAAACTGTTCTTCCTAGAGGTCCAATAAGGATCATCTCTTATTGATTCAGTGTTACTACAGAAGGAAACCTAAACTAAACTAACTTTATTTATACTGGATAGTTCTATCAGTTCTAAACTGTTCTTCCTAGAGATCCAGTAAGGATCATCTCTTATTGATACATTGTTACTACAGGAGGAAACCTAAACTAAACTAACTTTATTTATACTGACACGCGCACCATAACGACTGTGTCAGCAGCAACCTTACCCTATAGGATCTTAGCCTAAGATCTTACCCTAGAATCTTACCCTAGGATCTGTACTTGGTGAGTCCAGCCAGGCGTCCATGAAGTTGTTGTCCTCGTCATTTAAAACAACATCATATTTAGTTTTCAGCACCTAACAAATAATTTCGTTAATAAAAATAATCTATCAATGAAAATCTATCTCTATCTGTCCTAATTGATCTCCCTAAAGATCCAGTATAAAAGACAATTTCTTATTGATGTCATTGCAGGAGAAAACTGGACTGCCTGGAGAGGACCTGTGATGTTTGGGAAACACTTTTCTCACATGCAACTGAGATAAATTATAATCAGACTGCATATTAGAGAGGATTGACGTTTACTGCACAGCGCTAACGGCAAACAAGTTTTCGAGAGCTACAGTAGTTAATTCATGCTTCAGTTTTAATGCATAAATTGTCCTAACTTCGAACAGTCCTAACAGTTGACCTCAAAATAGGACTTGAAGGTTGAACGTCAATCTTAACCTTGCAGGATTCTTGCAGGAATCAAAGCTCGGTCACAAAGTTGAAACACACATGCACCACTGTGACATCAATCGTTCGAGTTAAAGTTCATTAATCATGTACTGTACATACCACAGGCTTCGCTGGTTCAGTTATCTTCTCTGAATCATTACTATCATCATCGCTATGAACCACAGGAGAGACTACATCCTCTACACCAGTCTCCTCCTCTGACTCATCTGATGTCAGATCAATATCAACATCAAAACTTGTGTTCTTTGGAGCTTCACTTGCTTTTTGTGTCGTCGTGTTTTCAACATTGTCTTCAAGTTCGTCTTCGGAGCTAATATCTTGAAAACCTGACACCATAGGATTGCCGCCTTTCTCGCTGCAAGGAATGGAAGCATTTCAGTTAATACATGGCTTTCAGTCAATCGATGGTTTTCACTAAACTCTGTCGTGTAGTAGAAGTGACATCATACGACACGAAATAGTCTTTCTGACGAAGGCCAAAATCCGCCATTTTTGAGGTACTGTCTGCCTTCGTGAAAGATTCTAGACAATTCAAACAACGTGAAAAACGACTTTTAAAAGTTGTAAGTGTAAATTTACCATTATACAAACAACTATAATGCTAAAAAGTTGTATTTCGTGGTGCGGAGACTCTCGAACGTGGGAGAGGCAGTACCCAAAAATGGCGGGAAAATCGGCCGTGAGAAAGGATAATTGAAACGCTCATCACAAAGATGAGAGACACATACAGTCACCGTTCTACCAGACAGAAAGTCACTTACCTATCACTGTCATCACTAGTGTCAGATCTGCCAGCAGTCGTCTTCTTAACTTCTCCTTTGTCCGTCTCATCCAAAAATGTTGAATCAATTGTCTCCTCTGGCACAAAATCATCAATACTCTTGGGTTGATTCGCCGTTTTCTTTGAGGAACCTGAGGAAGGTTTAATATTAAAGCACTTTGTATACAACTGTAGTATATGCACAAGTGGGACTGCGTACAGTATATTGGTGGTTTTCAAAAAGTGTTGTGGGACAACAAATGGTGGTCAACTTTTCAGAAATGTTAACATATTATTTAAAACTACATTTCTCAATTCTATTTATTCGCCTCCAAATACAAGACTACTGCATCTAATGAAAAGAATGAACATTATTTTCTCACTCTGATAACTGCAGGTTGACCACCATCTGCTCCACGATAGAACTTAGTGAAACCTGCCTATTGTCATACCTGGCTTGCTCGTGGTCACTGTAGGGCTTTGTACTGGCGTAGTTGATGATTTTAGTGGCGTGGACGGCGATGATTTGATAGAATTGCCTGAAGTGTGAAACATTTCATTGAATGAAGATATGCAGTATTTATATTTTACACAAACAAAATTTGGACAACAAGCATACCGAAAGTTTGTGGCTTTGATGGAGGCTGTTTCTTTTCGCTTGCTTTCTTATTCATATACACGAGAAATCTACAACAAATCACAATCTTCTTTTTATACATTCTGTCATGACTGCATATCTTGCCTTTGCAGTGAAATGCACCTCAGAGAAACATTACGTTGAAATCAAATTTGCGATGAAATCAAAGCCATACTTGTCATAGTCTTGTTCTTCTGTGTTTCTATGAAATGACATTTCTTCAAGCGTTGCCTGGGAAAACGTGTGAATTACATGATTGTATGGTTTCAACATAGAGTTTTGGCGGGGGGGGGGGGGGGAGTATTAGGAACAAAATGATGAATAAACTACCTGCATATCTTCTTTGTTTGTTTCCAACTGTTTTTCCAACGTTTCTCGCTAAATTGAAAATATTTTATAAGACTTCTGAAAAGAATTTCCTCTTGAAATGCGGCACTTTTCACAGACGGTCACAGACACAGAGAGAATATTGTAGCTACTTTAACTGGACCGCATCTACTTGATGCTATTGTGTTGAATACATATACTGTGCAAAGTCTGAGTGAAATTGAGTAAAGAAAAGATAGTTTGTCTGATCAATTCTCCATGTATAAATGCGTCAAGACAAATAATCTGCGCAGTAAAACCTGGTTTTCGTATGGTCGTAAAGATTGAGTCACAATCTTTCTCAACAGCTGAAATTAAGAAATACAACAGCTTAGAACTGGAAATAGGCAGAGTGACTACATGTAACTAGAGAATAGTGATGATTATATGTGGTTTACAGGTAAAAACTATTATAATGACTGGCTGTTGAGAAAGATCCTGACTCTATTTTTAAGACCGTTACGAGCATATGGAAACCTGGACAATTTGCAAATGATGTAACAGACAATCTTGCATGCAGTTGATTTTAGTTTGTCACTTAGGATAATTCTTTTTTTGTTTGGATACTAGATGATAAATCAGACAGCAAATACATTGAACTTGTTTAACTAATGTAAAAGTAGATATAGCAAACCTGAAGTTTTAGAAATGGAATATTGAAAAATTTATGTATAAATTTCAATCCAAAACCATTTTTCATACAACACTCTCCATATTGTATGATGGCAGCATCATCTCCTCTGTCATAATACTTCACAAATGATGTAATCTCGTCTCTCTGAACCACTCTGTGTTCTTGCATATCAAGAAAGTTTGACTTTAAAATACAACAAAATATGATTAGTTTAACAATTATTACCATGACCTATACTGTACATGAGTCATGGTATTAGATATTCAGAGTAAAATTATAAAGTTGATAGTCAGAAATATAGTCTGTCAAACACCAGCAAGAGAAAAGAGTAAACACAATTACAAGATGTATATATGGAAAATTTTCGTTTTTGTTAGCAAACTACAGTATTGAATGAAAATATTTACTTACCAACACAAGAACAGGAATATGTTTTGGAACTTTGGGTAACTCCCTCTCAATGTATTTAAATGTCCTGAAAAAGAATATGAGGAATGCTGTAGTACTACAGTATGTCAGAGCTATGTTGCATGTGCAATACTGTATTATGAGTTCTCATATTGTGTGTCATAGTCATGAACATGGATAATTTGAAAGAATCATGAAGTTACCATTGTTTGGTGATATCCAGCAGCATAACACAACCATGAGTGCCTTTGTAAACATCAAGAAATTCTGCATCAAGCACACCCGCCACTTGACCCTTCATGTTTGAAATAAGAAAATAGACTAAAGGTACAAGAATCATGTAGCAAGTTGGATTTGTTAAATATTGTGTGTTGTTGTTGTTAGTTGTTGCACTTGTTACTGTTACTGTTGTTGCTTTTGTTGTAGTTATTGTTGTTGTTGTTATCGTTATTGCACTTGTTACTATTGTTGTTGTTGTTACTGCTGCTGTTACTTTTGTTGTTGTTGTTGTTGTTGCTGTTGTTGTTGCTGCTGCTGCTAGCTGTTGTTGTTGTTGTTGTTGTTGTTGTTGTTGTTGTTGTTGTTGTTGTTGTTGTTGTTGCTGCTGCTGCTAGCTGTTGCTTTTCTTATTAGTGTTGCTCAATTTGGTTGCTTACATCACTTGCAGACATATCATTAGCAAGTTTTAAGCCATCACCATCGGATTTCTTCTTTTTTCCTAGCACAAAAACATTTCATCATTTTAGTTTTATGTTCATCAAAATAATTGCAAAAGTCACTCGTCTAGTCACCTTTATCAACAACATCCCAAACTTCAACCTTGACAACATCATCAGCAACTGAAATAATCACAATTGAATAAAATCAGAGTAAACATAATGCTTGTAACAATATATATATAGGGCTGCTGTAATTGGCGAGAGCTGTAGTGTGTCCTGCCATCCATTATTATATATCTTATGTATGTTATATCTAGCATGTTCTTTGACAAAGTTAAATAAATAATCTTTCATGTACTCCTGTTATATTGTGAAAATTATACTAAGTATTTACGTTGACATTGATTCAAGTACCTCTGTAACTCCAATTTATACTGCAAACCTAAATAAAATATGAACAAATTTAGTTTCTATTAAAAGAATTTTCAAATGAACAATTCATTCCAAGGAAATCTGAGGTACCTGTATTTCGTTTGTGGGAATATATTCTTCTTTAAAAGGCTTGCCTTGAAACCTCCCAAGCAATGTGCTTTTGCCAGTATTTCTGTCGCCTTTGATGACAATTTTCACTGGGAAAACATAATAATTGATTCAATTTCTATCAGAAACAGATGATATGTCCAGACGAATGCCCAATAAAATAATTTGCCTGTTTATAAATGCGGCAAACAGATCACCTGACAAAATCAACTATCTGCATAATTTCATCAATACATAGACAAACTTGTGTGCATTTTTTATCTTCATAAATGATCGATTTGTGTGAATACATCCCTATACCAACCGAAGGTTTGTCTGGATAGTTTATCTTCACTGAGGCCTGTTCAAACGTCAAACTTCTTGTGTGCCGAACACATTAAAAACAATAGATAATCAGCTGAAATGCCTCATTATCTATTGTTTCTAATGCGTTCGGCACATGAGAAGCATGCACAACGTTTGAAACAGACCTAAGGGTGCTTTCCATTTCATGGCCTGACCGGTCAGACCCTAATTCTTTTCTATGTATCAATGGAAAGATCTGGTGTATGTTTCTCAAATATCTAGTGAAAATGGACCTCACTCTAATGTTATCTAAATTTTCCGGTCAGATAGGTCCGAAGCCCAAATGTTTTGTGTTTCATTCAACAATTTGACCGTTCTGACCGTGTTAATGGAATAAGCACCCTAAAGCTCCGTTTACACTACGCTCAATTTTTGGTACGGCACGGATAAAATTGGTACCCGTATCACTTTTTTGGTTCTTGGACTACCTATTTAGGTAGTCCAAGAACCAAAAAGTGGTACAGTACCAAAAATTGAGCGTAGTGTAAACAGGGCTTAGCTAAATAGGTAGTCCAAGAACCAAAAAAGTGGTACGGGTACCAATTTTATCCGTGCCGTACCAAAAATTGAGCGTAGTGTAAACAGGGCTTAAGAGTGATGATCTATTGTCAGACGCATGATATGTGTAGAAATTGTAGTTAAACATTTTCAACAGAAACTTCTTCACAAGAACTTGGAGCTAAAACTTGGTGTAAATCAAATTCTACAGTAATGCAATTTAGTAGACACACACCCCAAATATAAATCCATAATTGACACATAATTAGTTATAAATGATAAATGATTACCTTCCATTTTATATTTTCTACATTATTTTACAATCTACATTCACGCAAAAAAGCCACAAAGGTAAGAAAACGAAGCAATACATACTGTTATACTGCACACCACGACCAAACTTTCTCTGCAACGAGTGTCCCATTGAAGAAACTCCACTTGGCATGGACGGCCGAGCCTTGGCTTCGTCATTTTTACGAGCAAATTTCTTTAAAGCTGAAATCATTTTGCTTTGTTCTTTACGTTTTACTCTCTTGATATATCATGAATGATGTTGATGTAGTTTCTGTTTATAATTCATCCCCAAAATGATGCGTTTTTTTCAAAATAAATGAAACATTATGCATACTCCTGGTTTGTCCACCATTTTCATCACCCGTTCCAGGACTCCAGTGTTCCATTTCGACAAACATTCCTGAACATATGGACAAACAGACAATGAGACTTTACAAACAGACAAACATTCCTGAACATATGGACAAACAGACGGTGAGACATCTGTTTGTCCATATGTTCAAGAATGTTTGTCGGTTTGTAAAGTTTCATCGTCTGTTTGTCCATATGTTCAGGAATGTTTGTCTGTTTGTAAATGTCTCATGGTCTGTTTGTCCATATGTTCAGGAATGTTTGTCTGTTTGTAAATTTTTCACTGTCTCCGATCGAAGTTCAGTATAAAATTACAATAAAATCTTCCCTAAACACAGCAGGTTATGTTACGTTACGTAAGAGTAGATCTTGCATAATAATGACATTAATGCTTTAAAAACTCGTGACTTGCATTGTTGACGAGTTTCAAGCCGTCAGTATAAACCTTCGAAGTACCAGCTCTGAACATCTGGCAAAATTATGGCTAGTGGATTAATAAACTTACTACGGCGAGCTGACAAATACTCGCTTTACGTCTTAGCTTGTTTGCTGGCTGCGTATTTATTAAACCAGCTCGACAGATATGCTCTGGCGGTCACATCAATGCCGATGGCACAAGATATTCATTTTGGTGACAAGGGTTGCGTCAACAGCAAAAATGTCAGTTTCTCGGGCCAGACCAAGTTGTGCAATAAAGAACCAGGAAGCACGGAGGTTGAGAAAAATAGAACAAGGTGGGCAAATGTTGGCTTTCTGCAATGCTAGTGTGTGAAGCTTGCAGGGGCAACAAACTTTTTCTGTCAGTCCTATTTATCCCACCACTATAAACAGTATGTACGATTGTTTCCTAAATCATAATGATCTAATGTCTGTTAATTTTTGCTCAATAACAAGATAGATATTTTACTCGTGTAATAACGTTATAAATTATCATAGGCGTACGAGACGGGGGCAAAGGGGCCAAATGCCCCCCCCCCCCCAATTTTGGAAAACCATGGAAATTCGGGCAAACGCTAGGAAAAATCAAGAAAATTCGGGCAGATTTATCAGAAAATATGTTAAAATCAGGTTATTTCATTACAATTCTCCATAAAAATTCGGGCTAACTTTCAACTCAGAGCAAATCGACGCAAAAATCCTTCCTCTATAAATGAGTATTAATTACCTATGTACCCAGGTTGCCAGAGGTCCTCATATCTTCCTGCTTCTGCGCTATTATTCTCGCTCGTATTTGAAATAAATAAATACGTATTTGAAATAAATACGAGCGAGAATAGTAGGGCGGAAAATACAAGAACCTCTTACATAAATATTGATTCGAATTGGGCGCCATCTTGAAAACCGCGAAAGACTGGAAACGACTCAAATGAACGCATTCGTAAACGCTAATTTTTGCAATAGTTCAATTCGTGGCAAGTTATTTTTTCTGGCGGTTTCAAACTCGTTTAATGCGCATCATTTATTCTCATCGCGTTCACAACCTCTTGAAATCCATATTTCTTTATTTCATCTCCTTGTCACCCAAATAAACATGCTGCTTTCATGCCTTAACTGGAAAACACGACACAACGTTTGTAAATAACTCTCTTAGTCTCTCACAATCTCTAACTAAAGTGTGTTTAAAGCTTGTCCACTACCAGTAACAGTACCTGTTTTCAAAACCGCAGATAAAACATTTCTACCAGTACACTTCACATGTATCACATCTCCATGGAAAACCAAACAAACATTTTGTGTTAATTACGAATTACGGTTGAACTTAATTTTTTATCACAAGCGGAGTCGTTCTTAACTTAACGTCTGCAAAAAGAAATAATTCAGTTTCAACGGCTTTTATTCATAACAGTCCACGTTTGAATACTGACGCTGAGATTTGAATAAAGTCCTTGGAACTACGAAAAGATGCTTTAACCGCGGAAGGGGGGCTTTTAATGCGCTGACAAAATTATCCTGCTAGATAATTGTATAATCAGTTATCGATCTCTGAAGTATTACAACTGAAGTCGTTTAAAACAAGGAAAAGAAAGAATCGTCTAAAATGGAGAACGCGAAGAAGAAACATTCGACAACAATGCGAGAATTTCGAGAGCTGGAAAAACGGTTACTGAATTTAGAACGAGAGCACAACAAGTTGATAAGACAGAGGAATTTTTATTGTAAATCTGCGTCGAGTACACGACCTTATCTAGCAGAGAAGATTGCTGCTAAACTACGACCTCAGACTGCATCATTGCCGCATTTCAAGAAGGCGTCCGTCAAAGAATCGTCCACTGGCGAATGTGTTTCAAAAGAGATGGAAAAGTCAGCGGGTTTTGATGGTAAATGGGCTGACATTGACATTGGGAGGAGGACTGAAGAATTTGAAACAAAACCCACGTGTAATGTACAGAAAGACGGAGACGACTTGTACGCAAAAAATGAAATCTTTTCCACCAGAATTACATCGTCCAGGGCAAGTTTCCGAACTTGTAGTCGGAATTCATCGGCTAATAACGGGAATGCACCGCTCCATTATCGGAATTATTCGGCGAATAATCGGAATCATAATCGTCCACCCTCGGTAGGGAGTCGACATTCATCGGCACATGGTCGGAATTCATCGGCACACAGTCGGAGTTTACCGTCGGAAATTTCTCATCTGGGAAATCGTCGTAACAAATCGTGGGTGTACCAACCGATGCCCATCCACCCAGAAAGACAAAGTATATATACATTGGTAGTCCCCCCCGTCCATGTAGCTGAGGAGTCGAAGAAACGACTGAAGAAGCGGAAGCGTCAGGGGGGTGGGGGACGGCACGTGGCATGGATGGACAATCGTGAACATGTATTGAGGTTTCAAGGGATACCAAGGGATTTTTATGTGCATGATAAGAAAGACAAAAATACAGAGAATGATATGGACAAGTTAAAACACTGTAGATATCTGCGCTAATATATAGTGGACTCCATAGATCATTATGTGACACTGAATGATATGTGGGTTTCACTATTAAGCACTGTCCAGCAGATGGCGGTCAACTGGCATTTGGAGGCAAATAAACAGAACTGAGAAATGATTCATATCTATTACACGAAAATGGTGCAGTGCGTACATGTTGCATGCCATCTGAAACTTATGCGCTACAGCGCTTACATAAACCTTTGGTACAACTGGCGTGAAACTTAAAATATTGATCATTCAATAAGTTTAAAATATCAATATATTTATTGAAAAATAGCTATTATGTCAAAATAAGAAAACTTAAGATTCTCACGCGAATTAGCATACGGTGTAGACCCCAGCAGAAACACGCGAATAGGCAATGTTTTTATAAGCGACCGTTAAGCGACCGTGCAAGCGACGGTAATAATAACAATAACAAGGACAAGGTGGGTCAAGGTTTTATCAAATTTATAACGAAATAATGTTATTTCCTTTAAATTTAGCTTTATTGTAACTTTTTAAAGATGCTGTCAAGTCCGTTCTGCGGTTCTGCTCATAACAAAGGGGGACCCACAGATGTAAACATTGCCCAAATTTCGCATCTTTTGAACTTTTTCTGAATTGAAACTCTGGTTTATATTCATTTACGAGCGTACTAAACCAGAACAGTGTTATATATTCAGTTAGTATATCATATTTTACAAATATAGCAGTTCGAAATGTAAACAAAGCGTTTGTTTACATTACGGACTTGACAGCACCTTTAAAGGTATAAAAAACCCGTGAAAACGGTGAATTACTATAATAGATTGAAAATGATTATTATTGATCATTTTGACGTTTGAGTGATTGAAATGAGTTTATTTACACTATAGTATATCGAATGTCATGTTGAATGTCATGTTGAATCTTATGCGTACTTCACAATGGTTGCTATTTCGTTGTATAATTGTATTAAATTTCAAAATATTTATAATTCAAATTTTGTTTGATATTTATATATCATGTTATTTACAAAATGTGCTGTAGTTTTGAAGCTTTGCACACAATATAATCAGTGCGAGCACAATGGCCCCGTTTTAGTTTGAGTATATAAAAATCGAGTATTTTGATAGCGTTCGCGGCTTTGAGGCTTTCACGATATATAAATATAAACGCCCGATAATTGATAAATATAAATCAGTGCGAGCACAACGGCTCCAAAATAACAACAAATAACAAAATATAAGATAAGCTAAAAACAGTAAAGCTTTACCTACCTCGATTTACTTTTCTAAAGCGCTCAATTATGTAAATTTTCGGCGAATAATCAACTCTTTGCGTTTCCTCGACGAAAACCAGGCATGAAAATGCTCGTCGGAAAAACTCGGTATTTGTCGTATTTTACGAACCTGCCACGTGACTGGTACGCTCACCGCTCACCACC